AACAACATTCCCCCCAGCCACCAAATTGTACAGCCCTGTGATTTCATCCCTGCCCATCCTCACTCTTCTGCTCCCAACCCTCACTTCCTTTTATCCCTGTATATGTTTTATTAATTTTCATTAAAAAAGTCCAATACCCTGAAAAAAAATATTGGAGGCTTAGAATTATTGAGGGCTAATTTATTGATCTGGGTCAGAAGAGAATGAAAAACTAGGGATCGTAGTGACTCTGGAAATACACTGTGATGTGTGAGATAAGTTTATGTTTTGCCATTTAATTTCCTTATTTTTATTATCCCTTCTGTAATTTGTAATCTTAGAAAATTCCTTTCTGTGATTCGTGTTCTTCAATCTAAACAACTTGTTATCAATGTTTTCTTTCCTTTAGGGTAAACCTACAGAGGCTTCAACAGAAGCAAGAGTGCAAGAATATGGAGAATTAGATGCTAAAGATTACATCCCAGGGGCAGAAGTTCTTGATGTTTTGAAAGAAGAAGAAGAAACTGCTGAAAATGATGAAGGTTCATGTTTATTTCATTATTGTTCATGACAGAGGCACTGTATTTCTGTTGAGGTTTAAATCTTTTTTTTTTTTGAGGTTTAAATCTTTATGCTATTTATAAAATGATTCAATAGGTTTATTGAATGATGACTGTGTGCCAAGCAACTTGGGGATCAAGTATTTTTGGGATCAAATGAGGGTGCTTATCTTCAGTTGTAGGAGATGTCTTTTCATCTCCTTTGGTGTTGCCCCAACCAAAGTCAGTTTTTGACATCTGAGAAGGGTAATGATTTTGTATTTGTTGTCTTAGAGATGATGGGAGTTAGTTGTGGGAGCAGTCACCTATACCTCATTGAAACAGATGAGGGAGAGAACTGTTTAAAAGGGATATATGATTAGGTATTATTGTCATGAGAGGAGTCCAGAACAAAGACTGCATAGTATAGTGGACTTGGGGGAGGGATTGTATAACAGTGAAAGAATTTTTCTTGTACTTTTCAAAGAGAAGAGCGAGGAGGGAGGGATGGGCAGGGAGAAAAGTGCAATAATGAATGAATGGAAATCCAAAGTCTCTGTAAACTTTCATTAAAATTCATAATAATAATAATAATAATCATCTTCCTGCGGAAGAGTATGTGAAGAGCACAGCCATGATTTCATAAACAAATGAGCAGTAAATCCTAGCAGGATTTATGATTGGAGCAGGGCTTTAGGCTCAGGAGATGTCTGATTCAAAAAAGGTTTCAGAAAAATGGTGAGCCGTAAACTCTTATCTTGAATGATAAGGCAGATGTTTGGTAATGAATGGTAAAATAGTGACCATTTTTTTCAGGGATAGTGTGAACCACATCTTTTAAGTATTTATGGATTCTAGTAGAATACAGGTTATAAGGGGATTCTTTTACATCAAGAATCTTCTACTGAGAATGATTATTTCTAACTGGTATCTCACACGGAAAATGTATAAATATGATTATGTGATTTGAATATTTGCTGTGTGAACACGATAAATGTACAAGTGAAGATGTGCTGTATGTTATTGATTTCTTGGAAAGAATAATGGCATTAGAGTCAGAAGTAATTTTGAAGAAGGCAGCATTTTCTAACATTGTAGTTCAGGAAAAATGGTTTAAGTATGAGAGTCTATTTCCTCTTCTGTTAGGTTGCCAGGTCTAGAGTAACAGATTGTAAGGTTTTGGTGTGTGGTTAAGTACTTTGTTGTTGTTAGGTTCACTTGAGTCAGCCCCACGTCATAGTGAACCCATGCGTGGCAGAATGACATGCTGCCCAGTCCTGCACTGTTTGATCCCAGTGTTTCAGCTGTGTGTCAGTCTGCTGTGCTGAAGGTCTTCCTCTTTTTCACTGACCCTCTACTTCACCACACATGATGTCCTTCACAGGACATGCTGTGAAGGTCATTGCTTATTCGCCATTCCTTAAATTAACAATACTGACAAGGGCTAATTTAACAAGATCAGATCGGTAGACCTTTCTTTGCAGAAATTGATTTTTCTCAGCACACTTTAAGTACCCACAAAAGTGGCAGTAATAACATAATTCTTTTTTCCCCCACAGATGGTTGGGAAAGTGTGAGTCTCAGTGAGGGGGAAGATGATGGTGACGGTGAATGGATTGACGTGAACCACTCTTCTGATGAAGAACAGCAAGAAATTGTAAGTTTCAACATGTTGCTTTGTAAAAGTTACCACTCTGATACTTGCTGGTGTAGCTCCAGTGGCCTAGTGGTATGGAACTGCACTGCCAACACAAAGGCACACAGTTTGAACTCACCAGCTGCTCCCTGTGAAGATGGGCAGTTTCTTTTTGTGCAGTTTACTGCCTCTGAAAACCCTCTGGCTGGTCAGGTGTGGGTCACTTCTGACTTGGCAGTGTACAACAACACATCAACTGATGTGTAGTAAGCCTTTCTTTTTGTTGGGCCCAGGCATGAGTAGAGTATGAAGGGCCAAGCTCTCACATGCACTTGCAGACTCTTAAGCCTTTGTTTGTATGCTTTCAAGGCCAAGAAGCTAAACAGCATGCCCATAGAGGAGCGCAAAGCCAAAGCTGCCGCCGTTAGTACTAGTCGGGTTTTAACTCAGGAAGACTTCCAGAAAATCCGGATGGCCCAGATGAGGAAAGAACTCAGTGCTGCCCCTGGAAAAGCAGAAAAGAGGAAATATATTGAAATAGACAGTGATGAGGAGCCAAGGTAACAGGCTTATATTGTATACCGGGGCTTATTCTGTTCTTACAACAGCGAAAGTATTTGGGAACGAAATTCCATCCTGTTTCATGGGGTTTTTTTCTCCCCCTCAACCCTAGGGGTGAGTTACTTTCACTTCGAGACATTGAACACCTTCATAAAAAGCCGAAGTCTGACAAGGAAACAAGATTAGCAACTGCAATGGTGAGTAAAGCTCATTGTGCCCTAGGTTTTAAAGATGTAAGGAAATAAGATGGAAAATTTCCTAGAATTTATACAATACAAAATGTGTCAGTATTTAAAAGGGAAACATTTTTATTGAAAGTAAAATTATAAGAAGGATGTTATTATAATTAAGCATATAGATGTTTGCTTAGATGAATTTTAGCAACTATATAGTTATGTAATCACCACTGAATTAAGACATAGAGCACAGAAGGATAATATTAAATGGTCATGGTATCAGGATCACCTAGTATATTTATCAAAGTTAATTGAAAAGCAGGAAATGTTTATATAGTCTTTAATAAAAAGCCAAAATAACCCTGGAATCTGCCTCTGGCAAGTACTTGTATAAGTAACATTCATAATCACACCCTGTTGAGGTTTTCCACCTTTGATTTCTATCTTTACTTTCCCTAGACACTACTCCATACTGACATCATATTGTTTGTTGTTGTTAGGTACTGTCGAGTTGCATGCGACTCATTGCGACCCTATGTACAAGAGCACTAAACCTTGCTCTATCCTGTGCCAACCTTATTGTCTCTGACACACCTATTCCCATTGCCCCCATCACTGAATCGATCTGTCTCATCGAAGGTCTTCCTCTCTTGCTCTGTCCCTCCATTCTCCTAAACATGACTTCTCTCTCTAAGGTCCAGTCCCTCCTTGTAACATGTCCAAAGTATGTCAGATGAAGTTCAGAATCCTTGCCTCCATGGAGCAGCCCGTTTTCACCCTTTCCAGGACGAACCTGTTTGTTCTCTTAGCAGTCCATAGTATATTGAAAACTCTTCTCCAGCACTGCAGCTCAAAGACATCAATTCTACTTCTATCGTCTTTAGTCATTGTCCAACTCTCTGATGCATAGCACTCAATTGTGAAGACTATGGCCTGGATCAGACACACCTTAGTCTCCAGACTGACATCGTTGCTCTTCAGTACTCTGGAGAGGTCCCTGACAGTTGACTTTCCCAATGCAATTCGCCTCTTGATTTCCTGACTGCTGGCACCAAGAGTATTGATTGTGGAGCCAAGCAGACTACAACTGTTAACAGTCTCAATCTCTTCATCATCCTTAATGATGCTTCCAATGGCCCCGTGGTGAGAATCTTTGTTTTCTTGATGTTGAGCTTCAGTCCATATTGAAGGCTGCAGTCCTTGACCTTCTGCAGCACACGCTTCAAGTCCTCCTCAGTTTCAGCAAGGTTGTGTTATCGGCATTACACAGGTTGTTGATGAATCTTCCTCAATCCTGGTAACACATTCCTCCTCATACAGCACAGTGTCCCAGATGATCTCGTCTGCATTTAGATTGAAGAGATACGGAGACAGACTACATCTCTGGTGGACGCTCTTCCTGATTTTAAACCATAGAATGTCTCCTTCCTCTGTTCTGACAACTGACTCTTGGTCCAAGTATAGGTTTTGCATTAGCACAATCAAATGTTCTGGGATTCCCATTCTTCCCAGAGTAAGCCACAGTTTGTTATGATCCACACAAAAGCCTTTGCATAGTTAATGAAACACAGATAGAAATTCCTCTGATACTCTCTGCTTTCAGCCAAGATCCATCTAACATTAGCTATAATATCCTTAGTACCATGGCCTCTTCTAAACCCAGCCTGCCCATTTAGCAGTTCTCTGTTGACGTGTTGCTCCAGTAGTTTTTGGATAATTTTCAGCAGAAGCTTGCTTACATATGATATTAATGATATTGTTCAATAATTTCCGCACTGTCTGGTCACCTTTCTTTGAAATGGGAACAAATATAGATCTCTTCCAGTCAGTTGACCAAATGGCTGTCCTCCAGATTTCTTGGCACAACTTGGTGACCACCTCCAGGACAGCATCTGTTTGTTGGAATATGTCAATTGGTATGCTGTCAACTCCTGGAGCCTTGTTTTTTACCAGTTCTTTCAGAGCAGCATGAACTTCTTCTTTCATCACCACAGGCTGTTGCTCATGTTGTTTCATGAAATTCTTCTGTGTCAGCCAATTCCTTCTGGTACAGTGACTCTGTATACTCCTTCTATCTTCTTTTACTGTTTCTTGGATCATTTAACATTCTGTCCAAAGCATCCTTAAGTATTGCCACTCATGGCTTGAATATAACTCCTTGCTTCTTCTTCTTCATACCTTTACACTAAATTACCCAGCTCACTAGAAGGCTCTGTCCTGCTTATGCTTTTTCCCACCATGAACACCTTCATCCTGTGGAAACATAGGTCCTCCCAAGAAGCTCTTCTATCCTTACTCCCAAGTTGAATCTTAGGACCCTTTACTTTGGTGACTGCTTACAATACACCCTAGTCATTTCTGCCCAGAAATAGCATGAAATCGCTGTGGAACAAGGACAGTGTCCTTGGCATCCAGTAGAGGGCCTGACACACAGGAGGGTAGGCAGAATTTTGATAAAAGACAATTCCCTGAGGTGTATTTGATGAAGAAATGCCAATCTTTTTGTCTTTTGTGTGGGTAGGCTGGGAAGACAGACCGAAAAGAATTTGTGAGGAAGAAAATGAAAATAAATCCATTTTCGAGTTCCACAAATAAAGAGAAGAAAAAACAGAAGAACTTTATGATGATGCGGTATAGTCAGAATGTCCGGTCAAAAAACAAGCGTTCCTTCAGAGAAAAGCAGGTGAGTTCAGTTTGAAGCTTGAGTTACTGGAACTTCACTGTCATTCTCAGGCACTGAGATGGAATGATCCCTTCTGAGACCCTGTGCGTGTAGGTGTCTTGTGTTCCCCGTTGTAATTGTGTAGATTCTGACTCTGTGACCCTTTGTGACAGGAGAACTGGCCCATAGGATTTCCAAGACTATTAATCTTCCTGGAAGGGAACTTTCTTAGAACAGCTGGTGGATTTGAAACACTAATAGCCAAGAACTTTTTTTTTTGTTTGTTTATTTTTTTTAATAGCCAAGAACTTAACCACTGTACTACTTTGTTGTTGTTGTGTGCTGCCAAGTCTGCACTGACCCATAGCTGACCTTCCAGCAAATTTTCAGAGGCAGTATCACACAGGAGGAGACTGTCCATCTTTCTCCCATGGAGCAGCTGGTGGATTTGAACTGCATAATTTTGAGTTGGTAGCAAAGTGTCTTATCACTGAGTCACCAGAGCTACCACTGTACTATCAGTGTTATGGCAGAAAAGGCAAGGTTTAAACACACAGCCAATATTGGAGATTAACAAACCTTTTTTATTTTTTTTTTTATTATTAATGTCAATGAACATCTACAGAGCTTTTGGAATTCCAAACCTTTTATTATATGCAGACTGAGAAAATCAGTCCTGCCAAAACCATTCCAACCCTGAGGGGAAGCAAAGATTGGGTTTATATTCAGAGATTGGGCATGGGAGTTACACAAATTTCATTGTGGTTGACAGTTAAGTGTTTTGGTGGTTTGGGTTTTTTTTACATTTAGGAGCCGTTATTTTTTCACTACTTGTGGGTGTCGAGGCCCGGGCCAGGTACAGGATGTAGTCAGGGAGTAGTAGCTGAGTTAGCATGTACTAGGAAACATAAACTTTAACAACAAATATTATTGCCAAAATTATTAAGGCATACAGTTCTTAATTTGCTGTCAGAACAAACTGGTTTCTCTAATGCTAACATTTAAGCTGCTACAACATTCCCTCCTCCTGTTTGTACACCCTCAAACCATTGAGTGATCTTCAGGGTCTTTAACTACTAGGGACTCACAATACTGAGATAAGAAAAGAAATGTAACAGAATCTGAGTTTGATCCTACAGGATTATGTGATTAAGGACGCATAGTTTAGTTAGGAGGAGGAGGAACAGAAGTATTAGGAGTCTTGAGATTCTACTAAGTATGGGAGTTATCTAGGGATTTTAAATAAACATTTTCTGATACTAAAACTGTCTAGATTTTTGTTCTGTCAGGCTTTGAAATAATTTTTTAATTTTTTGCAGACCATTAAGAATAACACTTGAATGATTGGCATAAAAGCAACAGGTTTCTCTTAAAGGAGCACACAATCCCCCCTGAAAGAGAAACAGGAGATGTAAATTTTATCACTTCTTGAGTATAACTTTGGCTAAGGATTTAACATGGTTATGCAGAAGGAACATAGCACACTGAAGGCTGTTAAGATGCTTGCAAATTTTTTTTTTACTAGTGTTGTAGGGGAGAGAGCTGTTCCAGCAGTACTGAGACCTGAAAAGTGTGTGTGGTGTATTTGGAACCCAGAGGCCTGGCAGATTAATACATTTTAGCCTTTCTTCACCACTATAAGTGTACATTTGAGTGAGAACTTAAACAGAGACATAAAATAGGGCTGGTTACTAATGACCTTTAAAGACATTTTGTGAGATTGTCTGTAAAGTTAGCTAAGTGCTATATTAGGGGTAAAATAGGTTAAGGAAGTATCAAGAATGACAGTTTTTAGACATACTGACTTCTAGATTGTAGAGTGACTTAGACTGCCCAGGAGGCTCATCCTAAACCAAGAAGTGTGGATTATGAAAGAGATACAGAGTTTAACAGGAAAAAGTGGCCACAATGTATTAGATAAAAGAAAGAGAAGTAAATTAAAAGAGGATAGATTTAAACAGAACCTTTCCTTATTGCTTGGGGAGTGACCCAGCAATGCAGACAAAAGATAAGGGGTGGGTGCCCCTAAACTTAGAGACCACACAGGTCCGCCTAACCACGTTTGTCTCGTGGAAATTTAGGTCTGTCTTGGCTTCAGGAGCACCTCCATTATGCTGTACAGTGTGACCACAAAACTGCAGGTTAGGACTCAATCAGACTCCGTAGCTTGGGGTTTCCTTACCATGGAGCCACACCGACCAGCTGCTGTAGGCAGCAGCCAGTTACATGCACACATGCAATCACTAAACCAAGCACTCAGAGGTTATTACCTTCCCTCCTATTAAACCCACAGAAAGTCAAACAGACAACAGAAACCTGGGTCAGCCAGACCATAAACCAGGGACTAACTGACCACTCACATCTGAGTTACGGCCCGTAGTCACTGTCCGTTTGCATCCAAACTTATTTGACCCATTACAGGAACTAAAATTACAGAAAGTCAGACTCAGCAGAGATGTTCCTTGACGAAGGTTTGTTAATCTCAAGAAAAGCACCAGGAGTCATCTCAGTCCCAGTCACCAGAGCTGTGATAAGAAAGGGGGGATCCTGGAAAGTCACAGGTGGCGCTGTTTCCTGTTTCTTCTCCAGAAGCTGTAGCTGGGACTGAGCAAACCCTGGCTGCTCAGTGCAGAAAACTTAGAAAAGAAGCTGAGGATCTCTCTGGGGCTTCCAAATATGGCAGAAAATGTGAGATTTAAACACTCAGCCAATGTTGGAAATTAACAAACCTTTCAGTACGCACGGGTTGAGAACGTCAGCTATTGCCCAAGCCATTCCGACCCTGAGGGAACAAAGATTGGGTTTATATACAGAGATAAGGCATAGGGGGTTATACCAAGTTCATTGTGGTTGGGAGTTGAGATTATTTTCCATTCGGGAGTCGTTATTGTTTCTGACTCTCATGAGTGTCCAGATCCTGGGCCAGGTACAGGATGTAGTCAGGGAGTAGTAACCAAGGTGTCAGCATGTACTAGGAAACATAAATCTTAGCAACACATGTTATTGCCAAAATTATTAAGGCACACATTTCTTAAAATGGCTTTCAGAACAAAATCATTTCTCTATTAACATATAAGCTGCTACTACGTTAGGGCTCATCTTTTTTTTTTGGTTAATGGAGAGCATTTATTAGGAAGAATGGAAAGAAGAAAGTAGTCAGTTCATGTCAGTCTCAGGCCTGACTTAGTAGAGGTTCAGCTATATGACCAAAGGGATGGCCATTTTTCTCCATCAGTAGAGTGAATTAAGCTAGATCATCTTAGACTCCTCCCATGCTAAAATTTTCAGGCATTGCTCTGTGAAATGGAAAAATTCATGGGATAACATTTTTTTAACAAAGTTTGCTTTCCTTCATGTCAGCAACTCTTTGCGTCATAAAACACCTCTCTCCTTTAAAAATAAGATATTTTTTATTCACCTAAGTAATAAGTTGGCACTTACTGGTTCAGTTACACTTATTTCTTATTCTTCCATTTGCTTGCCATTTGGAACTTGAAATTAATTAGTATAAATTTTCTCACTGAATTTTCTTCAATGGTCTCTCTATCATAAAATTTAATTCTGGGTTTCTGGTCTTATCAGTTGTCTCCTTCAATCTAGACCAGCAGAGTCAAGAGAAATGTAATATAGATCACGTTTCTAATGATAACATTTCCAGTAGGCATAGTTTACAATGTAAAGAGAAACAAGTGAAATTAATGTTAGCAATATCTTTTTTTTTAACCCAGTATATCCCAATTAGTATCAGCACATTCCTGTATACTCCTAAAACTGTCGTTCTAGACTCACTCAGAGCAGGTGTGATCTCAGGCACTATGAGAAGTGAATATAATGCTTAAATACTCTCTAGGGAGCTTTGGTGGCCTAGTGGTAAGAAGTTGTGCTGGGCACTTGGTGTAAATCCTTCAGCTGCTCCGTGAGACAAGGATGGGCAGTCTCCTTCTGTGTGGTTTATTGCCTCTGAAAACCCAGTGTAGAGTCAGCTAAAAGTTGGTTTTGACTCAACAGTGCACAACAGCACCACGCTCTACTTCTCAGTGATATTTTACTGTCTTATTAAAAGGATCTTAAATGGATTGAAAATATACTTAGGCTTCCCTAACTGTAAAATTTTAGAATATACAGAAAGATAACTTGGGATGGAAGTTGAACAGAAATGTAGAACATAGGATAAAAAAGTAGTAAAGCCTTTAGCAAGATCAAGGAATGGGAGAAAGAATTAATCTATGACTCATGTAACTGTAAGTTATAGTAATATTATAATTTTCATTTTAGAGATTCCTGTTGCTCATGCTTCTAATAGTGCAAGTGTCCTCTATTGTTCTATAGTTTTCCAAAGCATATTATTTCAGAAGTGGATGACCAAGCCTTCTTTTTAGTCTGTCTTACTGTAGAAATTCTGGTTTAGTACAGCATCTGACAAGTGCTGTACCCAGAAGAGCAGATGATAAACAAGCAAATGTATAATAGCTAAGGTCTGTGCTAGAGAGGGTGAAACCAGTTTGGTCCTTAGAGGCTAGGATTTTGAAACTCTGTCTCACACACTTTGGGCATGTTGTCAGGAGAAATGGAGCTTGGAGAAGGACACTATGCTTGGAAAAGTAGAGGATCAGTGCAGAAGAGGAAGAGCCTGGGTAATAGGAGTTGACACAGTGACTGTGGCAGTGGGGTCAGATATGTCAGGATAAGGCAGGGTTCAAAGTCCTCATGCATAGAGTCACTATGAGTCATAGGTGACTTGACAACACCTTAACAACTCCTCATGCTTACCCTATCTGTGTCAGAGTAGAACTGAGTAAATTGTCCAGTGACTGCTATTTTTAGGAAGTAGATTGCTAGGCCTTGCTTCTATTTTAGTCATCTTTTTCTGCAGAATACCACAAGTGGGTAGATTTAAGAAATAAGAGTTTATTTTTTCACAGTAGGTGACTAGAGAAGTGAAATCAAGCACCAGTTCTAGGAGAAAGCATGCTTTTTTCCCCTCTCTCTCTTCTCAGTTTTGGGGGAAGATCCTCACTCTGATTCTCATGATCTTCATGTGGCGTGGCATCCGTTCATCCACTTCTACTTCCTCACTTTCTTGCATAATCTGCTTCTTTTCTATTTCAAAAATGATTGACTCAAAGCACCCTATACTAAGTACTGTCTCAGAACAAAGAACGTCCAGTCCCAAGTGGAATTTAAGCACTGGTGTCGGGTTCAGGTTTATAGCACTTACTGTTGAAGACTGAACTTCAGCTTATTGTTCAGTCTTCAATAGGGTTTCTGGGTGAAGTAGACCTTCCAACTTTTTGTTTCTACCTAAGTATACTAAATTTGTAGAATCCAAGGATGTGATAACAATATTAAAAACCATTGAGTCCATTCTAATTCATAGCAACACTCCACCTGGTTTCTGAGGCTGTAAATCTTTATGGAAACAGACTGCCTCATTTTTCTGTACGGAGCGGCTGATGGGGTCAAACTGCTGATCATTTTGGCTAGAAGCCTCACGATAGCCCATTCCAGCACTGGGGCTCCTGTAATAATGATATTGTGTGTACTGTGGAGTTAGAACTTCCAACAGGTTTTCAGAACCAGTAAATTACACAGGAAGAGATTGCCCTCCTTCATCCACGGAGCAGCTGGTGGATTTGAACTTTGTGTGTTTGGGTTGGCCCTAAGCTACCAGAGCTCCCTTATAACACTATTGTTGTTGTTGTTGTTGTTGTCATCGAGTGCCTGCAAGTTGAGCACAACTCATAGCGACCCTGTGAACAAAAGACCTGAAGTCCCTCTACAACTATCGACGTTTACACTATTAGCTAACACTTATTTAATTCTTAATACATGGCTTACCTATCCCAGAGCTTTACCTTTATTAGATCTGATTCACAACAATATGAACAGATCTTGTGATTAAACCTATTTTACACATGAGAAAACTGAGACACAGAAAGATGGGTTTGAGAAATACCTCCTTAGCCTCAAGATTTCCCCTTCCCACTTTAGGATTCCAACCATTCCTCAAAGAAATACCAAGACCTAGCTATTTCGTGGACTGGCAAAAGAATAAATGTCATGGAGAAAGTGCAACCAGGATGCTCCTCTGAGTCAAGGGTAGTGAAACTTCATCTCAGATGCTTTGGGCCTGTTGTTAGGAGTGTCTAGTTCTAGGAAGAGAGCATGGTGCTTGGAAAGATAGAGGATCAGTAAAGAAGAAGAACACCCTCAATAAGATGGATTGTTGACAGAGTGTAACAATGGGCTCAAGTCTACCAGAGATGATGAGAATGGCACAGGATAGGACAAAGTTGAGATCTTTGTGATAGAGTTGCTGTGAATCATAGTCTACAGCATTGGGATCCTCAGGCTTATCTAACTTTATAAAGGAAAAGGAGAATCATCAGCATCAACAGCCCAAGGCTGATTCCTATGAATCAGAGATCAGATTTACCTCTTCTCTGGTGGCCTATTGACAAGAAGCTGAGCTACAATCCTGAAGGCATGTGGTTTGAGGCCACCAGCTGCAGTGCAGGAGAAAGATGAGCAGTCTCCTCCCATGTGATTAACTGCCTCTGAAAGCCCACCAGATGGTCAGATGTGGATCAGTTCTGACTCTACAGTACACAACAACTTCAACCTTTACTCCAATCCTGACATCAGCTGCCCCTCCCGCTGTATGTATTCTGTCCCTGCCCGCCCACTTCCCTTCTGGGTTTAATAATTTGCCACAGTGGTCACACAGAACTCACAGACCACACCCACAGTTCTGTGGTTCCTTAGGAAAGTAATGGGTTACATTTCAGGATCAAGAATAACTTGGATTGCAGTCCTATCAGGATAGTTTCTTAGCTGTGCCCGTAGGCTAGCCTCTTCCTTTGCCCTGTCAGGAATGTGTTACAAAGCTCTGTAGCTCTACTGTTAAGTGCCCAGAGGTACCCATAACTCCAGTAATAAGCCTTAGCCAGAAGGTGTTCGGTTCTCTAGTTCAATGGGTTGGCAAGCCTACCTCTATTGACAGTGCCTGGAACCTTCTCGCTCTGTCTGGAAGCCTCTTCCCTGAAGGCACTCAGCTCATCTGCCCCACGGCCTAGGCTGTTCACCTGAGTCTGCCCTCTGGTTCTATGCTGTGCCTGCCTCCGCTTCTCACCATCTTATAATTGTCTATAGTGCTGTAACTCTGGCTCCTGGGTCTAAGAGGGTCTCAACAAAGGAACCCCAGGCCCACTCCTAGTTCTTCTTTCTTACTAGCAGTCATATACCCCTTTCCAGCTCGGGATGGCTCATTCTAAACTTAGCAGGATGACAAAACTACCAGTTTCTTTTCTAAGACTTCCATATACATATTTGCATGGTCTCACCCCTACAAAAGTGCCATGTATCTTACTTGCATCGTTAGCAAACTGTTCAGTCCCCTTTGTAAGCCACAAGCATTTTATCTGCGGAATCTCACATGTGAGTTAGTTATACAACCCTGATAAGAAAGGCCATATAAAGTGATCAGTTGTGCTATAGGATTTCAGTAAATTAATTTATGTTTGAAGCATTCTAGAGAATAATTGTTATTTATTTATTATGCAGTTATTTATTGTAAAACTTTTTTAATTCATTAATAACAATAAACAAAACCATTTCGAAATCTGCAAATAAGGCCTTTTTTAAAATCCAGATTATATGATAGAATTACTTCAAATCTGCACAGATTTCAGTGTCATTGAAAGCATTTTCAAAGGGTTGGTATGTGGTAGTTGAATATAGGTGATTTGAAGAAATTAATCACAAAGAAAGAATCTCTTTTCCTCTCTGTTGAGACCATGTGCCCCGCCAAGTTCCAGATATTATTGGTTGTATGAAGCAGAGAAGTGTCAAAATTTACCTGGAGACAAATATTTCTCATTTCTGCCTCCTGTAGTTGCTCTTGTTTTGAGTGTTTGTTAAGAAAGGTAAGAGCAATGAAGAACCTTTTGCACCTTTTTGAAAAAAGAGGACGTTCCCAGCCTGAATATGGATTAGATAGTTTTCCACTGTCAGTAGTTTTTCAGGATGAGCTATTGATTTAGCTTATTATTTCATAAGCTTCTGTGTCCTAGGTTAACATAATAAGATTTAGCTGAATTAATCCTGTTTAAATATTCATTTGTTTTTTTTCCTTTTCCAGCTGGCACTACGAGATGCACTTTTGAAAAAGAGGAAAAGAATGAAGTAACTTCTAAGCAAATTTTCCATTTCAAGGAGAATGCTAAAATGTGGATCATTGCTCTGTTATGTTAAGAATGTCTTTTCATATTAAAATGTACAGATGTTCTCTGTTTTGAAAACCATAGTAAACTTAGTGATGTTTGCTCTTTTCATTTTGAAGATCAGTAATGATGGGAGTGTTTGAAATATTAGCAGTATCGGTGTTCTAAAAGAGTTTTCATTTGGCATTCTTGCGAAAAATTTGAGTGCCTGCTGTCTGTGTAGAGACACAATGAATGAGCCTTACATAACCCTTTACTGAAGGCGTTCGCGTAGTGGGGAGGCACTGTGTATATGTGTGTTTAAAGTACAATGTAGATAGTTGTCCAGTAGAGATGGAACTGTATTCCTATGGTCATAGAGGCCTTATGAACTATCCTTGCAAAGGATGGGGCTGTATATTAAAACAAACAAACAAAAATGGACAATGTTACAAGAGTAAGAGGTTCTTACTTGTAAATAGGCTTACCTGCTGAAAACAGGTCCCTGCTGTACAGGCTTGGAGTATTTAGCTGTTTTAGTCCATCTCAAAGACCTAATTTTTTTTTTCTGTGCCACATGGTGAGTTTTTTATTAAACCCTTGCTTTTTAAACTGCTTTAACTAGAAATGATTTTGAAATATCTTTACTTCATCATTTGAGCTTCCCCCCCCCTTTCTGCAGCCTCTTTATGCTGTAATATTTTTAGCCCGCAGCTTGCCTTATTTCAGTAAGATGGTTTCTAATGTTAACTAGGTGCTGTTGTGTGTGCTGACAGGTGTGTGTGCTTCCTGCTGCAGGCAAGCTTGATTGGTTTTCATATCACCTGAAAGCTAGCTTTGCTCTCTCCCCACTTGTAACATTCTTATTTGGAAAGAATTTAGTGCCTTTTATCCTCAGAGTTCTTGAATAATACTGTGGTAAAAGCAAATTGCTTTATCTTGCTTAAAATCAGAGTAAAGGGCAATGTTCTCCCTGATTAGAATTAGTAAACAGCTTCTCTCCCATTTTTAAAGAAGTTTTGTAATAGTGGTTTTCTCTCTGTCATGTGTTTGTTTACGAAATTACTCCTTGCTCCCTCTCCACTGTCTCCTGTTCTTAGTCAGAGTTCAGCTTTAGCTTAGTTTGAATTTTTGTGCCTTTCCTCTGAATGCCCCATGTCACCTTTCGAGGAATAGCTGTGAAGACTTTGAGAATTAGTGATGAAATTGTCCCGGCTACTAGTAATTCAGTTGTGCTTAGCTGCCCCAGGCTGAGCCCCATGGAGTCATTGGCTGGTCAGTGGCAGGAAGATGTGGTGGTTGGTCATTTTCCATAAAGATTGTAGCCTTAGAAATGGTGGAGAAGCTCTGCTATATCTTGTGTAGGTTGGCATTGATTTGACAGCAGTGCGTTAGAGTTTGTGTGGTTTTTCTGGCTGATTGCTTTTTATTTTTAGTGAGAGGAACTGTGACCCTCCAGCAGTGTCAGTGGTTTAGAGGAGGTGCCCAGCACATAATGGAATATTTCAGACCTAAATCTACTTCCTTTTCTTTTTGCTTGTTTGAAATGGCTGCCTCTTCATGTATCTCATCCAGACAGGAGGAAATGAAATTCACAATGACATAGCAGCTAGAGGCCAGAGCATTGCTGTGGAAGTTGTGGCAGTGCTTGTAGGCTTTGTGCCTCCCCAAGATTATCACTTAGACAACACAAAGCCAAAGTTCAGTCTGTTTAAGACTGTTCTTTTGTGGCCTCGCCGGGTTTTGACTTGCCTGAGATTTGTAGACAATATACAGAGATAACCATCCTTAGTATATTTTGTATCTGCTCAGTTCAGCTCATTATCAATCTCTTGGGAGTATTTTCTGTTTACTACAACTTTTTTCTTCTTAAAATGTATATTTTTAGAATTTTAATGCTTAAAATTGAAGCAGCCTTAAAACAGTGGTTTTCATCTAACAGCATATTACAGAATGTGAAAATTCTTTTCATTGTGAACCATGAAAATGGAATTAATAATACTTGCAGTGTCAAAGCTACCAACATGTCACCTTTTTTAGTCACAGAATCCCAGAACATTGTATGAACGATGCCTTTGGCTCTCACAGCCTAGTTTCTTATGATGGATAAATTCAGAGAAAGAGCATTTTCATAAAAAGTAAAATTCTAAAATCAGGTAGGATTTCTTTTAAAATTCACAGTTGGTAGAAAAACATTAGTACAATCTGTTCTTTTATACAAAGTAGTACTGTTCATTTTACGTACACATTTGGAGTGTTTCTTTAATTTCACTTGTATCTCACTCTCCGTTGAAACACCAAAGAAAACTGCACAGAAGCTTTGTGAGTGTTTTCTCTCTAACTCTAAGGGATCTCCACTCGGTATGAACTAAAACTCAGTAAATAGAGGAATGGGACGCACGCTGAGCTGGGCTGAGTTGGCCATGTGACTGCAGGCAGAACTCATAATAATTTCCACATAAGAGCCAATATGGAGATGAATGAACTTTAAAGGATCAAGACTTGACTGTTCTCCATGGTAACATACATTCTGCTCTAGTCAGACTTGTTAACTATAAATGTTGAACAATAAGATAATCACAAAATTAGGTGTTGCCAGCAAAGGGTGAACCTCTGCACAATGAGCTTTATCTTGAACAAGTCAATAGGTCTGAGCTTCCAGCTTCTCTCTCTCAAAATTCATCAACTCAGAGAATGGGTCCATTTAGGGATAATCTCATATTATCCAAACTTATGTGTAAATCAATGTATAAATCCAGAATATTGACACCATGCGTATGTGATTCTGGCAAGAGCCCCTAGAAAACAAACTTCATTTGAGTGAGAGAATTTTGTCCGTGTGCTGCTATGCCCCTAGTGATTGTTCAGTGTCTGGTAAATACTGAAATATATGATTTTTTTTTATTATTATTATTTGTGTGTGTACCGTCAAATCAGATCTGACTGGTACAGGAGGAGATTGTTCCTCCTTCTCCAGCAGAGCATCTGGTGGATTTGAACTGCGGACCTCAGGGATTACAGTGCAGCTTCTTGCTGCTAGGCCACCAGAGCTCGCCTGAAATACATGATTTAATCTCTGATGTCAATTTTCTGTCTGTGGATATACCACCTACCTCAATGATTGCTTTAAGTTGTGAGAACTAATGCTCATAAACACTTATAATCACCACAAAGTTATAATGCATAAGTTTCTCATCAAAGCTTAGATAACTATTAAGCTTCTTTCTCCACCTCACCCATTTATTTATGTAAAATGAAACCGTTACAATAGATGTTTTACATTTCAAATCCATTTTTAAAACAAGTTCACAGTATAAAAATATATACTGAATGGCCACCATGTGCAGAGCGTTCTGCTAGGTGCTGTTGGGTTGCAGTCACAAGGTTTGTGAGCTTTAGAAACTGTCAGGCCAATGAAGGAAGTGCACTTGCACAATGTCTGTAATACAAGGCAGTTTTATAAAGCTCCCAAAGAAAAGCATAAGAAAGATGGGCCCCTCGAAGAAGGGAAGCTGTTCACCTGAAAGGAGGGTAAAACGCCTCAGTTTAACAGCCTCAGAGCATAGTTATAGTTTAGTGTGAACAGATGCTTATGATGAAGATGACAGCTGGAGGTTTCTGAATCATAACAATGTTACGGTTTATAATTCTGTAAAGGTTATGGTTACTATAACTCCTGTTCTATTTAGTTATGTTCCATTTCTCTGACAGCTTATAATAGAAGATGGCATGGCTACTTCATGTGAACCAGAATGTTTAATCAGTTGGAATACTCTGTACTTAAAACTCACTTCGATACATTTTTTTTAATCTGTATTATGACAAGGTTGTTCTAGCAAGTGATTTCCTGTCAGGATGAAAATAAAAATTAACTATTACTTAAATATTTTTTAAATTTAAGAGGTTTAAAAAAACCTTGACTAGAAATAAAGATGTTTGGGCATTCACAAGGAACTTCTTCTTTTACAAAATCAGAGCTCTGGAAATAACTTCTCTCCCTTCTTTTTCTTGGGTGTGTACTGGTTTAAAACTATAAGTAAAAACAGAGCTCAGCTAATTATGTTTTATTTAAATACCATAACCTTGTAATTGTGTAAGGCATTTATTGCAGAGTAAATATTCCTTTTGCAGATATTGTTCTCATAGTTTTTCGAACTTTTACTTGAAAATAATTAAACAGATGACTTTATCCAGTAATAGAATATTATGCCACCACTAAAATGTTTATAATGGAAATATGTATTATAGATGTAGAGAACAAAATGCAAATGTGTTAATAGTATATCCAACTACATATGTAAGAAAATATGAGATAATAATTTCCCAAAAGGAATTATATAAAAATATCAAATGAGGTTTTCTTTGAGTATTGGGATCATTTATGAGTTTGTTTTTTTCTACTTTGCTTTCTGAATCTTTGATAGAATAAATTTTTGTCATTGAAGAGGTGGAGAATAAAGATATTTAGAAACTCATTCTTGTGAATTTTTTCATCAGAAGAGGAATGTGCTTAAACCAAGGCAAGGATTACCTTGAAAATTTTCCAAAAGACTGTTTACAGTGTGACCTTATTAATCACTCTCTTCCACCAGTTTACTGATTCGATGTCAGTCATCCGTAGTTTGAAACCTTCTTTGACCTTAGCCAGTACTACCAAAAAAGTAACAAAATGATAAATTAAAACAATTATTTGGGAAAGTAATTTGCAGTATATACTAAGACTACAAAATATTAATAACCTATGATTCAAACCTGTTTCTGACTTAAAACAATCCGGAGGTGTGTTTGGAGCTGTGTTTGACTGCAAGTAACAGTCCATCCAAAAATATTCCAACCAAGTTGGAGTTTCCTATGAGAAATCTGAAGACAGGCTGTTGCTGACCTCAGCACAGCTGTTCAGTGATGCAGTGAGGGTCTTGGACTGTTTCTGCTTTGTCATCTTTAGTGTTTTGGGGCCAGATTTTCTTGATTCAAATGCTAACTCTGA